AAAAAAAAAAAAAAAAAAAAAAAAAAAAAAGAAAGAGAAGACATGGTTTGAGTCCTTTTTTGCAGGGTGGAGGTGAGAAGCTCAGTTTTTTATCTATGAATGGGGCTGCAAATCCCTACCTCCTTGGGGTTGTTGTGGAAATCCAATGAGTCAATAGCTGTGAAAGCCCTCAGCATGGTGCCTGATGCATAGTAGATGTTCAGAAATGATTTTTGGTTCTGATTCGGAAATCAGCTTCTGATATGTTTGGCCTGGGAGTAGAAGCAAGATGAAATTAAGAGGAGAAAGGAGACTGTTCACTTAAGCTAGACAAAACTGAATTCAGTTACACAGTGTGCATGGTTTGGGCTCTGAGACACATCAATTCATGGCAAGCTGCCTCTTAGGTGAATACTGACTTGAAAGTCAATGGCAGAGGGGAAGGTAGGGGTATACGAGGCAGAGTTGCTGTTCCAAGGCTCCTGTTCACCCCTTGGGTGGTGGCAGTAGATGAAACTGAAAGTCCCCTCTGAGAGCCTTCTCCCTCATTTGGGTAGACCCTAGTATTTTGTCGTGATTATACACTGGTGATGGAGTTATGGAGCTTAAGAGTAGGGCAGTAGATCTTCAGATGCCTTCTATTAATGAACAGCGAAGGCCTTGAAAACTAATGTTTGTGCCAGAGTGCTCAGGACAGAGCCGGGGCCCAAAGACTCTAGGGTCATCTGTTTTTCCCTGATATTTGTGTCGCTTTTAGGTGGAGGGAGGACCCAGAGCAATGGCTGCTGCTCATGAGGTGGAGATGGAGGATGTGAATCTGAATAGAGACAGGAAAGAAGACCTGGAGGACGAGGAGGAAATGAGAGAGGACGGCGAAGGTAAAGATCCCTCCAAGAATAAAAAAGTCTACAGGGTTGTCTCAAAATGGATGCTTCCTGAACAGGCCCGGAGAACATACGTGGAGAGAGCTAACTGCTTCCCGCCCCCCGTGTTCATCATCTCCATCAGCTTTGCTGAGGTGAATATTTTGAGTGGTGGGCATTAGGGAGTTGCAAACAAACTGGGGATTTGGGTCAGATACAGATAAGATTCTGGGAAACGTATAAGAAGAGAACTTGGTGTTGGCAAGCAGAGCACACACAGAACCCAACCTCACCACATCCTGAACTTCTTTCCCAGGTTTTCCCTGAGTTCCCAGTCACTTTCGGGGTTTTTCAAGGGTTGAGTTTTATTTTTCAAACAAGTTCCCTGCCCCGCAGTGACTACAGTTTTGGTGGCTTCATTTCATTTTACCTGCCTGGGGGCTTTAGAAACCAAATAATCTTGGGGCTGCACATTGGTTTGATCTCATGATCCAACTTAGATTGGTTGGGTTGGTAAGGTCTGTCAGGAGTCTTATGTTTAGAAGGGTTACAGGCTGCCCCCAAATTTTAGTAGAGAAAAAGCTGTTTCCTCTAATGATGTCTACTTTCGGTAGCATGTAGGGTGTTTCCAAACTCTTGAGCTAGTCAGCTCTCTTGTATTCCGGAAAAGAGTGCAAGGTCTGGAGAGGTGGGAGATTTACCCAAGGTCATATACTTAGTGATCGGGCCAGGATGGGGCTTCTGAGCATCATCACACCTAACTTTTTCTCCCACACCATATGATGTCTCATAAAGGAAATGGCAGAGGATGGCTGCCTGTCGGGTATGACTTCATGGGCATTAGGAAATCCCTAGGGTAATCCTCTTAACTCCAAACAATGTCTCAACTTCCTTATCAGGGACTGTACTAGCATTTTTTAGAGAAACAGAACCAATAGGATGTGTACACACATGTGCGCGCGCGCATACACACACACACACACACACACACACACACACACAATTATCCTATCATCTATCATTATCTATCATCATCATCTATATAGTCATCTGTCTATTCACTCTTATCTATTGAGAGAGAGAGAGAGAGAGAAATATTGGTATATTTTAAGGATTTGGTACATGTGATTGTGGAAGTTTGGTAAACTCAAAACCTACAGGGCAGGCCTGCAGACTGGCGACCTAGGGGTTAAGAGTTGTGGTGGAGTCTGAAGGCCATCTGTTGGCAGAATTCCCTTTTCTTAGAAGGAGTCAGTCTTTGTGCTATTAAGGCCTTCAGCTGCAGGATGAGGCCCGCCCCCATTACAGGGGCTAATCTGCTTTAGTCAAAGTTTACTTATTTAATTGTTAACCTCATCTAAAATATACCTTCGCAGAAACATCTAGAATGTTTGACCAAATGTCTGGGTACTGTGGTCTAGCCAAGCTGACACAAAAAATTAACTTTCACAGGGATCTAGCCTCCTACAACTCAGATAAGAGAAGGCTAATGTGTAAACATTCCTGGGAGAAGATTCCATCAAGGCTGTTTTGGTTACAGGGACATAACTCTAAATTTTCTCAAGGGGTTTTATTGTGAAACAACCATGAATCCATTCTGCTTTTTTGCTACTGCATGTTATCCTTCCAACCTATGGATTGGTTGCCTGCCCATGGGCCAGTGAGCTGTGTGTGTGGTATAGGAGGAGGATTGGAGAAGACTGGGATGAGGTCACATGTACGAAACATAGCTGCCTGGGCAGTGTGCTCTGGCGAAGGCGGTTTTCATAGAAGGGTCATGGAGCATTAAAACATTTTAAAACAAAACTTTTTATTTTGGAATAATTTAGTTTTATAGAAGGATTGCAAAGATAGTACGGAGTTCCTGAATATTCCTTATCCAATTTCCACCATTGTTAATATATTTCATTTCCATAGCACATTTCCACACTTAAAACTACAAAAGAAACTGATATATGTGTATTACTATTAACACAACTCCAGAACTTACTTGGATTTTACCAGTTTTCCATTAATGTCCTCTCTTTGTCCCTCCTGTACCCTCAAACCCAGGGCATCACATTTAGTTGTCATGTCTCCCACCTCCTTTGAACTGTGACAGTATCTGTCTGTTTTCTAAGACTGACAGTCTGGAGGACTGTTGGCCAAGTACCCTGCAGAATGTCCCCCAGTCTGGGTTTGTCTGATGTTTTCCTCACGATTAGATTGGAGTTATGGGTTTTGGGGAAGAATATTGCAGAGTGGAGTGCCCTCTCATCACATGCCATCCTACCAGGGAGTAGGGGCATCAACGTGACATCCCTAGTGACAGCAGCTTTCATCCCTTGGTTGAGGTTGTGTTTACCAGGTCACTCCACTGTAAAGTTACTGTTTTCTTCTTTCTCCAATCTATTCTTTGGAAGCCAGTAGGGACTTAATTTTATACTAAGTTGTAAGTGGAAGACCAAATGGTGGTGGTGGGAAGATGAGGGCAATGGTATTTGAGGGAGGAAGGGGATTCTGAAAGGCTTTACAGTTTGGTCTAGGCTGCTCCTGCTCCCTGGGGGAGGAGGGGTATGAGCACAGTTAGACGGTCAGATCTACAGGGAATGCAATTCCCATCCTCTTCTGAGCACAGGCTCTGGAATGGCTCACCTGGGAGCTGCTCATTTGAAACCAAGGTGCCCATGGCTGTAATGGGGCCACTCTCTGCAGAAGGGGTGGTTAATATTCATGTCTGCCCCTCCTTGTCAGCTGGCGGTGTTTATTTACTATGCTGTGTGGAAGCCTCAGAAACAGTGGATCACCCTGGACGTGGGCATTTTGGAAAGTCCCTTTATCTACAGCCCTGAGAAGAGAGAGGAAGCCTGGAGGTTTATCTCATACATGCTGGTACATGCTGGGTAAGGAATGACAGTTAAGTCACTGATGTTGGAAGTGACTATAAGTAATTGTATTGCCTAGTATATGCTTGGTGGTTTATTACTGATAAGGCACTTTCCTGTCCATAACCTTGTTTGATCCTCACAGCAATCCTGAGGGTCAGGTATGACTCCCTCCATTTTATGTCGGAGTCTCAGGGGATGTAGTTATCTGCCCCATGTCACACAGCTAAGTTGCAGAGCTAGGACCATTAGTGATGACTCAAGTGTATTTATATAGCATCATAATGTCCAAATATTGGTATTTACATAGGAATATTAATGAGGAGAGACCAAATCATTCCCAAACCACAAGTTGTTTGATGTTAAGTGTTCCCTTTAGAGCATGAGTCATCAGTCCCTGAGCCCCTGCCCCCATCTCATTGGCCAGAACCATGTGACACAGCTACCCTGGCCCGAGAGGTGGGAGAGTCACTGCCAGCCTCACTTGAGGAGGTAGGTAGACAAGGAGTAAGGAAGTCTGGATTAGCAGTAACATAAGCAGAAAGAGAACGATCAGAATAGGGATGGCTTCACAGATGACATGGATTCAGGTTGGACCCTGAAGGGTGGATAAACTTTGAATGAAAAAAACAATATTTCTATTTTGGGTATATGACAGGATCTCATCTTTATGCACGTCTATGGGGTGATTCTTTGGGGTTATTGTGTCACCTTGTCCTCAAGGTGTTCCCAGAGGACAGGATGGGGTGGCTTTTCTTGACCTTCTTGTTCAAATTCACAGTGCACGTATTTCCAAATCCCCTTTATGTCTGGAGCCTCCATAAGATTAGTGTAGTGTAACTGTCTTTGCTAGACTTTTTGTGTTGAATGACACGTTACTTCTCCTACATCTTTGAAGATGGCTTGGACAATAATAGTTGTGGCTGGGTGTACACATGGACATGAAGGGAAATACTCTGTTCTGTAGGTATATCCAGAGAACCACTTCAGTGATCTGCTGAATATTTGTTGAGTAAATTATAATGCGAAAACACCATCCCTAAAAACTAATATGAAAGCTGCAGCACTTTGTCAAAGACCTGACACCTATTTTGCATTTTAACTTTTTGGTTTAACCTGAAATCTCTTAAACAAAACAAAACAAACATTGTGCTACAAGCAACTAAATTAAGGATTACTCAAACGTGGGGCTTTCCCAAATTACATTCACAGATTCTCCAGAGATGCTCTTGGGGTTTGACAAGCAAAATAACATGTATTTCATTAAAAATTTTTAATTATAATAAAAAGCACCTGCACTCAATTGTTATAAGCATAATTGTAATACATGGGGATATCTTTAGCTAGTGTTACTAAGTAAGCTTTTCTTTTATTCTGGTAAACTTAAAAAAAAACTTTTTAATGTAGAACTGGGAATGAGGCTTCTCTTGCCATCTCTGTTTTGTTAAAGAATATCCTGAGATTACAAAAAAAATTGTTTAAAAACCTATTGAAATTTAAACTGCCTGCTGCTCAACAGCAATCCTAATCAGTGGTGAAGTAGGATTTTCTCAATACTGTGCTACTGAAACAAAATCAGATTCCGAGGCTGACATAGGTGGTAATTGTCATCTAAACCTAATTTCAAGTTTTATATTCCTTAAACCCAGCCCCCTTGCTCTGTTTGATGTTGTCAGTAATCATTATAAAACAGAATTTATAAAATAAATGTATACTTCTAAAATTTTTAAATCTGTTTTATGTATTGAAGCTCCATGTAAGGTTTTATTTAAACAAAAAGTCACCTAAAAAACTAGAAAATAGAATTCAAGTTAAGCAAGTCCTTAAGTAGAAACATACCAATGTCTGTTAATCTTCCAAGGAAATAATTGCCTGGGTTAGTCATAATATTTGACAACTGTGTTTGTCTTTGCAGAGTTCAGCATATCTTGGGGAATCTTGTTATGCAGCTTGCTCTGGGTATTCCCTTGGAAATGGTCCACAAAGGCCTCCGAGTGGGACTGGTGTACCTGGCAGGAGTGATTGCAGGTTAGTATCCTGAGGGTAACGCAGAATCAACAGCTTTGGAAACTCAGGCAGTAATAAACAAAGCAAAGGTAATAAACTTAAGGAAAGATTTATTGCACTTCTAATATGTGCTAGAAGACCTGATAAACATTAGTGATAAAATTAGTGATAAAATATTAATTAGTGATAAAATATTAGAGATAAGCATATAGAGATAAGTCATTGTGCCAATAATCCTCAGGTACCTCACAGTTAGACATAGGTTTGCACAATTAAAAATGGCATGTAGTTTGGTGCCCAGGGGCACATATTGGGTAAAGGCCTACAGCTAGACCATGAAGGTCCTGTGTGTCACACTAATGATTTTGGGAAGTAACACGACCCAATTTGCATTTAAGAAAGATGCCTTCAAGAGAATGTAGGGAAGAGCTAAAGGGGTCCCAAAACTCAGTAGGAACTAGCAGCATGTGCCAATGCTCTCTAAAATTAGGTGTGCCTACAATGATCCATTAGGGTCTATGTAGAAAATATTAGAACTCCCATCCTTTTAGTTATTTGCTGGAAACATTTTTTTTTAATTAAACTTTTCGATAATAATAATAGGTTTACATTACAGTTGTAAGAATTAAATACCTAGATGTCCCGTCTAACTAGTTACCCCCAATGGTAACAGCTTGCAAAATTATAGCACAGTAACAAACCAGGATATACACATTGATAGAGTCAAGGTGCAAATCATTTCATCACTACAGGGATTCCTCATGTTGCATATTTATAGTCATATCCGCGTCTCCCCCCACCCTTAATGCCTGCTTTTACTCCTGACAACCACTAATCTGTTCTCTGTTTCTACAATTTCCTCACTTAAGAATGTTATACAAATGGAATAATGCAGTATATTGCCTTTTGGGATTAGCTTTCTGCATTTGGCATAATTCTCTGGAGATGCATGTAAATTGATGCATTTATCAACAGTTCATTCATTTTTATTCCTGAGCAGGATTCTGTGGTGTGGATGTACCACCATTTGTTTAACCCTTCACTCATTGGAGGAAATATGGGTTGTTTCCAGTTTTTTGTTATTATAAATAAAGCTGCTGTAAACATCTGTATACAGGTTTTTGTGAACGGAAGTCCAGGGTTTTGTGAATGTAAGTTTTCATTTCTCTAGGGCACATGTCCAAGAGCACAGTTCTTGGTTTGTATGGGAGTTGCATAATTAGTTATTGAAGAACCAGCCAAAATGTTTTCCAGGATGGCTGTTCCATTTTTACATTCTTCCCAGGATTGTATAAGTGATTCAGTGTCCCATATCCTCACCAGCATTTGGTGGTGGTACCGTTTTTCTATTTTGGCTGTGCTTATATTCAGACCTCATGGACTTAATGTGCACATTTCCCTACTACTGATATTGAACATCTTTTCATGTGTTTATTTACCATCTGTATATTGTCTTTAGTGAAATGCCTGGCCATGTCTTTTGCCCATTTTCTAATTAGGTTTTTATACTCATTGTATTTTGAGAGTCCTTTATATCTTCTAGATCCTAGTCCTTTACTGAATATGTAGTTTACAGACATTTCCTCTCAGTCTGTAGCTTGTCTTCTCACTGTCATTTTTTTATCTCTTTCTAATGAAAATTTTTTTATTATGGCATCATTAATATACAATCACACGAGCAACATTGTGGTTACTAGATTCCCCCCATTATCAAGTCCCCACGTCATACCCCATTACAGTCACTGTCCATCAGCGTAGTAAGATGCTATAGAGTCACTACTTGTCTTCTCTGTGCTATACTGCCTTCCCCATGCCCCCCCCCACATTATATGTGCTAATCATAATGCCGCTTGTTTTCCTTGCACAGGTTGTATATTGTATAGTATAATAAGGGTATTATATTGCATCCTAAGGAATGAAAGCAAGAGACATAGAGTAATAGAACCAAGCAGTATAGAGAGAACATTTTTGAGTTTGCATGAGGTGGTTTTTAAACTTTGCTTTAGTTTAGGCAATCTAAGACTAATTTAGCAAACAGATTTCATCTTCCTTGGCGAATCTGATTGAGTGGTATGTTGAGAAGGATTCTAAGGGTACATCTTGAATCCATGAGAAAGCCATTAGATAATAAAATGTTGGAATGTCTCAGGTATTTTGATAGTTTTGACTAAACATGTGGGATATTTTGAAACAACAGCTGCAAAGAATATAATATACGCCAGGCAGTGTTCTAAGCATGATGCACATATCATCTCATTTGCTTCCCCTGACAACATATTGAGATAAGTTCTATTAAGAGCCTCATTTTGTAGGTAGGGAAACTAAGACACAGAGAGGTTAAGAAACTTGCTCAAGTAACACAGCTGGTATTCTGGCTCCAGTGTCTGTGCTCTTGTCACTGTTATACTGTCTTCATGCTGAACATGGTTTCAGAAAAACTGAGGTAGCCCACATAGCTATACGTTTATAGTATGGAAGGGACAAAGTGAATTTGTTGTGTATTAATATGGTAATGGTCCAAACTCCCAGACTTTTACCTTAGATTAGAAAGATTTATCTTTCATAATTCTTATAGTCATGTCTGATCCTCTGTTTTATTTCTTTAGGTTCCCTTGCCAGCTCTATCTTTGACCCACTCAAATATCTTGTGGGTGCTTCAGGAGGAGTCTACGCTCTCATGGGAGGCTATTTTATGAATGTACTAGTGGTAAGAACTTTAGAAATGGCAGCTATGGACTGACCATTCTCCCCCTCACTTTAAAAACAATAACCAGTAACTAGTATTTTGGTTCAAAACTGATAATCTTCATTTATCAATATCTACTGAGCACTCACCTTCCTTCTGGCCAGCCACCAGAATTTTCCTTTCATATTTTATCTTTTTTCCTCCTTATCACCATAGTAATGAACACTAAATAAAATTTAAATTGGAAACTAAAAAGTCAAAATTCCCAATATAGCATCTGTCAACAATTTGATATACATCTTTTAGACCTTTTTCTGTATTTTTCAAAATCCTCCCAATATCGATACAACAAACATGGAGCCACCCTTACATGTTCTGCACCTTAACAGAGTACCTGACCTATCCTGACCATCTAACCAGGTCAGCACACAGAAAGACACCCCAATCTTTTCATGTGTTCCACAGTACCCACTGCATAACTGTATCCTGACTTACTAATCCTTCATGAAAAATATTTGGGGTGATTCTAGCTTTTCATACTTACAAATAATGCTATAAGGAAATGCTTTTACATTTATCTTTTTGCATTTGTGTAATTTTTTTTGTGGGATTAATTCCTAGAGATGGATTTACTGGATTAAGGCTTGAAATTTTCACAGATAAATTCCAAATTGCCCTCCAAAGTTGGCATGCCATTTTATACTTTTATGTTATAGTATGTGAGAATGGCAACCACATTTTAAAACAGGCTAAAATCCTGACTAGTTTTAACCCTCTAACTATGTAGGTGTACTTTGAAAATACTCTAGGAGGAAAAATAGGAAACAATTATAAAACTCTTCCAAAAACAGAAGTTATTTAGCAAAATGTTTTTCAAACTTCAGATTTTATTAATTTTTGTGGACTCAGTTTAAGGGATTGTGACCAAAAATTAAACAAAAAGAAAGCAAATGAAAATTGGGCTGTTACACCAATGCTTTGTTCTGTGTTTAGTTTACATCATGGAATTAACTATAATGTTTCATTTTGTTCTCCAAAATGTACCAGCACTGTACTTCCAAAGTACATATGAAAACTGGGCTATTACACCAATGCTTTGTTTTGCAAATATTTTTCACTCAAACTTTAAATGAAAAAGCAGATGAAGAGCAAGTACAGTTGAGGTTTCAGTTGTTGAGAGCTTACATTATTATTTATTTCTTTGCAAGAATTTTCGAGAAATGATTCCTGCCTTTGGAATTGTCAGACTGCTGATCATCATCCTTATAAGTAAGTCTGTTTTGTAAACATGTCACCACGCCTTCAATTTTATCACATTTCTTAAACACTAACATGTAGGATGACCCCTAACCTAGAGTCAGAATTGTCTGCTCCATAGCTCAAACAGAAGGTACAAATGGAGTTTTCAGAGCTTCTTGTGGGTGGTTTTTAGAGGTGCCTCAGTAACATGTTTTTGCTTTTTGTTTCTTTCTGGAATGGGGGGAGGTCAAGAGAGTAGAGTTCTAGGCACTCAGTCTACTTCAAACACCATGGCTTCATTTATATTTTATTTACTGAATTTTTCTTGTTCAGACATTGGATTTTGTATATGATTTTGTCTGAAAAGAGAAAGCACAAAACCACTGATAAAATCTAGTTTCTTCCTCAATTTCTACATTTTCAGATAAGAAAACACCTGATCTAGGATATAAACATAGAGTGGTGGCTGAGGATTAAAGACAGGAGCAGAGGTGAAGGTGCTGAGAGGTCAGGGCACTAAGAACATGGCCAGTGTGGCTTTTGAAATCTCCAGGAATTACAGTGGAGAATCATACGCTCAAGTTCAGGAAGAGCGTTCCATCTGGAGAGGACGCAGAATTTTCTCTGAGTCTGAATGTCAGGGTAGATTCTGGATGGTGGCAGGCCACACAGGGTAGAAGAAAACAAGGGCTGAGGCTTGTGTTTCAGGACCTGCTCCAGCTAAAGCTGGTTGCGCAGAGGGTGTGGGGAGAACGCCGACCCTGCCGTCATATTGTGGGGTCGGACTTGAAGGCCAAGACCAAGGTGACACTTGGGAAAGGCTAAGATGCTGGCTGTCCGCATGGTAAGAAAAAAATGATTCTGCTAATTGGCACCTAGAGTTCAGTTACCCATAGTGTTGGGAACAGGCCAAGTACATCTGAGGAAAGAGGTCATTTAGTTCATGAACAGTTTAGCTCTAAAAACATTTCATCCTGAGAGAAGATAAGTGACTTGTTTATAGTTTATACCATACTCTATATATAAATTATTAATCCAAGAAGTGAGGGAGAGGGTGAGCAGGTGTTTGGAGTCAGGAGTCGCTGTGGGAGCAGAGCTGCTGCCTGAGTTGTTAAGAGCCACAACCAGGATCATGGCACAAGTCCTTGGACTGAAAAGTGTTGTCACACAAGTTACCTGAGTCTTTAGTCAATCTGTTTCTTTAGGGCCTTAAGAATGGCTTTTATGACATTAGCCTCAAGTCCTTTATGGGGCAATGGTTTTGATACTCTTCAATGTTGGAGTAAAAACACTTTCCTAAGCCATGGGGAGTCTCCAAAAATAGTTTATGTAACATTACATCATATTTGATTATGTTGTGCCCCGTTTCCTTGAGTCCCCCATGTGGAGTTGCAGTCACCAGCCTCAGTCGCGAGATGTAAGAGCAAAACAGGTCTTTATTGCTAGTTTGAACTAGGGTATCAGTGGCCCGTCAAAACACAGGACTCGGTCTGAGACCCTGAACAAAGTTCCCTTTTTGCTTTTATACTTTGCTGGGCATGGTTTCCGTGGGAATGGGCGTGGCTTGAGCAGGAAACTTCTTACTCAAGATGGAGGACACAAATGGAGGCAGGAGTTATTCAAGATGGAGGACACAAAATGGAGGCAGGAGTTATTCAAGATGGAGGACACAAAATGGGGGCAGGAGTTATTCAAGATGGAGGACACAACATGGGGGCAGGAGTTATTCAAGATGGAGGACACAAAATGGGGGCACATAGTTATTCAAGATGGGGGACACAAAATGGAGGCAGGGGTCATGCTAACCTTCCAGGGGTCCCACAATTACATCCTACACACATCTTAGAGTAGGTGGAATACCTAATGTCAACCTTCACCACTTCCTATCATTCGTCATTTCTAAAAGTTCTTTGGCTTGTTATTGAAATGAGAAAAGTTACAACACACTCCAGATTAATAAAATATAAGTGCATTTTAATTTTAAACACATTTCCTTGGGACTATAGTTTTTTTTAATGGTAAATAATATTAATTGTGAAGGACAATTGGCTTTAAGGACCTTCATTCAGCATTATTTGTTGGGGGTGATTTCTAATGAAGCAACTGAGCTTCCCTTTGTCAAAGAGTTAGGGAAACCTCACATTTTCATCCTTCAAAAAAATCTTCATAGAGGCAACTCTCTTAAAATGAGTGTCAAAATTTGAGGAAGATGACTTGGTTTATTGGAATAAAGAGCTTCTTTCCAGGTGGGAAGACAGGTATTTGTTTAGAGACTGCAAGAACTGAAAAGCAAACTCCCTTAGGAAACAAAGAACCAAGCAGAGAGATGCAGGAAGAGGGCAAAACAAGAGTGAAATGTAATGGAGAAATTGACATGCTAAGAGTTACAAAGACTCCTACTGTGGAAGACCAGACCAGAGGAACTAACTATTCAACTAAATCCGCCCTGTGCTCCTGTGGTGGTTTACTTACACTTTCCCGGTCCTGTTTCTGTGTGCTATTTACTCTGGAGCAGGAAATTCAGATGATGATTGGAGATTCGGTACAGCCACATTTATCTGGTATTTTTGTGTAATGGTCATTTACAATTTAATTAATATTGAGTACTTCCTCGACCTCAATTCCTGTCCAGTGACTTAAATGTCAATACAGTATTGAAAGGGAAACTAGTCCGAATTACATGCTGCTGATGCTATTTTCCCCAGGGCAAGGACTAGGTCTTTCCATCTCCTAGGACATCCACTAAGTAGAGCACAGGGAATTGGGGGATGGGTGTGGAAGGTTAGTGCAGGGGCCCATGGAGGGTGGGATTCTAGACCCAAAAACCCTGGAAGCTCCCTTTGCAGCACAGATCTGACCTGGTTGAAGAATGTCTCAGTTCTGGATCTCACTGTTCCAGTGGAGAATGTGGACTCATTTCCTTTCTTGACCCATCTTCAGAACTCCTGCGGCAATTAGAGGCAACTAGTGTGGTGGGAGAATGGGAGCCTCTACAGACTGCTCAAGGGTCAAATCCTGCTTCTGAACTGTGTGACCTTCGGGAAATACTTAGCCTCTCTGTTTTGGATTCTTTATATATAAAATGCTGCCATCACTCCTCTCCTGGATTGCTGCAACAGCAATAATCTAGTTGGTCTTCCAGCCCCTGTCCTTGCTTCCTTATAGACTACTTCCTATAGCACCCAGAATGATCTTTTAAAAGCATTAAGTCAGATCATCTCTTCCCTGAAAAGCCTTCATAGGCTCCCTGTCCCTCAGAGTAAAAGTCGAAGTCTTTACAGTGGCCCATTAGGCCTCCCGCATGATCTATTTCCTGCTCAGCACTTGGCATTTTATCCTCATCTGTAGTCCAGAATCACCGGGAGGTCTTGTTAAAACACAGACTATTAAGCCTCATCTTCAGAGTTCCTAGTTCAGTAAGTCTGGGGTGGGCCTGGGAGTTAATTTCTTCTAAGTTCCCAGGAGCTACTGCTGCTCGTGGGGATGGGGGCCCCCTTGGAAAGCCCCTGTCTGCCAGAGAACTGCTTTGGTTTCCTCAAACACACCAGGTACATTCCTGCCATAAGGGACGACACTTGCTCTTCCCACTGCCCATAATGGCTTGCTCCCTTATTCCCATTAAAAGTTACGTCCTCCGTAAGACCCTCCCTGACTCTTCTATTAAAAAGTCACACCTTACTCCAGCATTTCCAATTATCCTTCTCTCTTTGTATTATCTCCATAGCACTTAGCACCATTTGGTAGACTGTATTTTTACTCAGCCTCCCCCACCTAGACCACAGCTCCACGAGGCAGGGTGTCCGATCTGTTCAGTGCAGGATCTTCTCCACCTATAATAGTACCTGGCACATACAAGAAAATTGGTAAGCATTTATTGGATGCATAAGTCTGTAAAATGGGATGACAGTTAATCCTTGTGAGGATTAGTGAGTTAATGCATGCTCTTAAAATAGCACCCGGCACAGAGTCAGTTGCAGTACGTGGTAGCTGCTACCATCCCGAGTGAGGAACCATGGGGGCATTTGGTGCACTGCAGTGGGCTTCATCAGGTTTCTTGCCTTCTAGTTGTGTCAGACGTGGGGTTTGCCCTCTACAGACGATTCTTTGTCCCAGCAAATGGGTCTCCGGTGAGTTCTTATTATTTTTAATGAAAAATTGTTTACCTATCATATCAATAGCAAAAAAAGGCCATCAAAGAGGGGCAACAATTCTGTAAGTCAGGGCAGTCAAATTTCCATTTGGAAGTTAAGAAAATTCCTGAGGAAATCAGACTTTTGGGTTGTCCTTTTCACTTAACTTTCTCATAACCCTGGCCATGCGCTCTGCTTTTCTGTACCTGCCATATACAGGTAGCTATTCCAAAACAGGAAAGAAGGGAATTTCATTGTCCACAGAGAATAAAAGCAGATTGGAAAACAACAATGAAAAATTGGGTCCAGCTGAATTGGCATCCTTAAGAAACCTGACAGTGATTTCCAGTTTTGTTGGAATTAGTCTTTGAAGTTGGTAGTTTTTGGTTGAGGATTTGTGTGTATGTGTGGCTGCGGTTTTAATTCTGACATTCCACTTATGTGGGGTCGGACTGTGCTCCTACAGAGAGCCCGCGTGGCAACTCAAGTCATTCTGTTTTTTGGCCTTATTTAGAACCATCCCAAATGCGATGGTGATCACAAAGAACGAGCAGCAATGGCTGTCTTGTGTATTCTGAGTGGTTGAAATGATATTTTTTAGTTATGTGTGTTTTACAACGTCTCCTTTCTGTGTGCATGGAGTTTTGTGCCTCCTTTGTCTCTTGCCTCCTTGTTCTTCAGACTTTGAAGACTCATTTGACTATGATGGTATTTGTTTTTTAGTCAGAGAGATGCGACTGAAATATGCAATTAACATTTTCTTGTCTCCATTCCTCCCCTTTTCTCCCAAGGTGTCCTTTGCTGCTCACCTTGCAGGTGGATTCGCTGGAATGTCCATAGGTTACACTGTGTTTAGCTGCTTTGATAAGGCACTGCTGAAAGATCCAAGGTTTTGGATAGCAATTGCAGCTTACTTAGCTTGTGTATTATTTGCTGTTTTTTTCAACATTTTTCTATCTCCAGCAAATTGACCTGCCCCCTAAGATAAGCCAATGAATAAAAAGAGCCACCTGAGAAAGAACTGGAGAACTCTGTGAAGAAACAGACAAGTCCCAGCGAATGTTAACCATTTTATAAAGAGGTCAAAAACACCACTGAAGTCATTAGTTATAGAGACTGCTTATAAAATGAGTTAAGGTCTAAGGGAGGGGCTTCTGAATAGGAAGGAGGGAAGAGGAGCAGAGAAACCGTGGTGAAAACCAGAACTTGGCTCTTTCCAGACATAAGGTGTAGTTTGTACATGTCCTTGAGAGACCTGCTCTCCTTGGAGGATAATTGTAGAGATTGCTTGACAGAATCAATGAATACTTCACTATGCTGATAATAAAAACTTTTCATACCTGTATCAGACTGTTGATACTCATTTTCAGTCACTGAGTAGAAGGATCACTGTTTGAGGTGCTTTATATACATCATTGCTATCTTTTTAACAGACAGAAAGGTGGCTATTACTCTGTATCTAGAGAGAAGGGCATAGAAACTTTTAAAAAAATCAAGTAGCTTACTGAGAAGGGGAAGGATTTAAAGGTTGGTGATGACTTGAAACCCCATTCTCTTCTCCCCTAGCGTTCTGACAATGTTTATTCCTCATATGCTGAAAGTTAGGAGTATGCTGGGCATGTAGGAATAAATATTTCAGTGGATGCACCACGAATAGTAGAAGTACCTTATGGAGGACAGAATTTTCTGGACGGCTAGTTTAAGATTCTAGTAGTGTATCTAAGATCCCAAGGAACCTGGAACTAGCTTTCTGGTGCATGCTAGACCTGGATTCTGGGATTCTCATCTGTGATAAGATTCTCATCCTTCACATGGCTAGTGGCTCTCCTAGGGGTGGGTAGGATTTATTTATAAAAGGTGAAATGTCTGAAAGTTGAGAAGCTTGTGTCCTTTTCCTGTACAGAATCCAGACTGCTGGCCATTCTTTTACCAAAATAGTAGTATTAGGTCATCTTAACACAGGAAATACAATTTTTCTTCTTTTATCATCAACATATTTTATTTATAAACACCCATCTAAATGTTTTGTATTCTGAAAGGAGCATGCACACTTTTAGATAGTGGGAAAAGTACCATTTTAGTATTTTGAGAAAAACGGATCTGGGATTTGTTAAGAACATTTTAAATTTGAGCATAAGAATATGAGTATGTTTTTGGTGAAACAAAGATTTGAACAAGAACTTAAAAGATAAGATTCCCTTTTACCTTCCCACCCAATCCTCTGCTTTTCCCTGGTAATGACTGCTGTCAGTCATTCTTGCAGACCTCTTTCTATCTGAGATGAGCCAAAAGGGACATGGATTATAGCTGATGCTAAACTCAGTCCCTGCACCGACCTTCACTGAATCAGCTCTATACCTGCAAAGGGACAAGTTCAGAGAACAAGCTGAAGGTGGTGGTGGAAAATTAAGTATGATTTGCTTCCCAGAGTTACCTAAACTAAGAAAGGTTTGGCTTAATCTCTCTGTTTTAGCTGATTAAATATACATATGAAATAGGTTTTAACAAGATAAATGAGATTATACTACATGTCTTGTAATTTACTTTATAATGTGACATAGAGATCTTTCTATTAGTTCATAGAGATATTTATTCTCTGAGTTGCTGAATGATAGATATATACTAAAGTTCATTTAATCATTTGTCTACTGACACTTAAATTGTTGCTGATTTTGTACCATTGCCAATGGTGCCAAAATCAGGGTACAAATGGAACATTGTAGTATGTGCACTGTGTCTGAGTATGTTTGCTGAGTGAATATTTCAAGCATCCAGAAGCAGAAATGCTATGTTAATTTTGAAAGATTTAAACTGTCTTTTAAATAGTTGTTGCCATTTATATTCTTACCGATGGTATATGAGAGTAAGTGTCCTCATACTTTTCCTCAAAGCAGACATTATCACTTTGAATTTGATAGTTAAAAAATACTTCATTTTAATTTGTATTTCTTTAATTTCTATTAATAAGGTTAGTATTTTCCAAATTCTTTAATAATTTGTAAGTTATTATGCATAATATGTACTTTAAATAATACATAATATACAAATATACATATGTGATTTTTTTTCCTGTGAAATGTTTGTATTTAATCTGAGAAGTAGCTACTGGCTGGCAAAGAGGCGAGAGAAGAAATTATCATCTTCCAAAGCCAACCCACCAGGTCACCCGCTCTGAAGACAGATCTCTAATGACCAAAGTGCAATGTAACTCTTAGTACCAGAAAACTAGACAAAGACACAGGATTCATCTAACTGTGAAATCGAACATGAACCACTTATTATTAAAACTGATGACTAAGAAATTATTATTAAATTAGAAAGTCTTTTTGGTGCTAAAAAAAAAATCATTTATATTACCCAAAATGGTGATACTGGGTTCCCCAGGGGGCAAAATTACCATTAAAAAAGCACACAAACATCTCCTGCTCTTTTAAATTTGGCATCTCTGAATTATAAGCCACTTATTTAGCTTAATTTGGAGTTCATAACTTTAGTCTTTTAAACTGTTCATTGGAAATATCTGTGCTGTCCGATAAAGTAGGCACAAAAAAAAAAATCATTTATATTACCCAAAATGGTGATACTGGGTTCCCCAGGGGGCAAAATTACCATTAAAAAAGCACACAAACATCTCCTGCTCTTTTAAATTTGGCATCTCTGAATTATAAGCCACTTATTTAGCTTAATTTGGAGTTCATAACTTTAGTCTTTTAAACTGTTCATTGGAAATATCTGTGCTGTCCGATAAAGTAGGCACCTATTTAAAGTAATTAAATTAAGAACTCAGTTCCTCTGTTACACTGCAAGTACTCAATAGCTGTATGTGGCTAGTGGCTTCCTTATTGGACAGTTCAGATAAGAGTCTACTTTAATATCGTTGCAAGTGATTCTATTGGACAGCACTGTTTTAGAAGCAAGAATGTGCAAAAATGGATTTTAGCGGATGGCTGACTCACTGCATTGAATTCAACTCAATCTGCTCTCTACCTGCAAAGGGACAAATTCAGGAAACAAGTTGAAGATCGCAGTATTATAAATTCTCCTAAGCATGATTTGCTTCTCAGATATACCTACACTAAAAAAGGTTTGTGTTCATCTCTCTGTTTTAGCTAACTAGAGTTGTTTGAAATGTTTTTACATTTTGGCTTTTGAATTCTATGGCATTGTATCTATGTACACTATTCATGTCATTTGCTATGAAAGCTTTAGAACCTAAGATTTGCAGCTAAATAATTTATTGCTCCTTTCAGGAAATACTGTGCTCATGTCTGTTAAGGAAAAAAATTATTTCTTTTTGTAATTATAAAAGTAAAGTGCTCATGGCAAAAAAAATTAAAGTGCATATAATTATAAAAGGTTAAGTTAATTTTAATCACATTACCAAGAGATAATCATAGTTAATATTTTGATGAATATCCTTCTAGGTTTTTTTTTTTCCCATGCAAGAGATTTTATTATTTGCAAGAGAAAGTGGCTGCCCCTAGAGAGAGAGACAGAGACAGACAGAGTGAGAGAGCAGCCCTTCTAGGTATTTTTTGTATGAACCTATATATATAGATACATTTTTAATAATGGGGTCATACTATTTTATATACTATTTTATAAACTGAATTTTACTGAAACAATATATCAAATGACTTTATATTAGTATATATTTATCATTTCTACTGGGTGCATACTACAAACTATGGATGTATTATTTATTATGTATAATGCTATTTCTTGTATTGCTAATTATTTTGGATATTTTCAATGTATGATTATTATAGACAACATGAATAATATCCTTGCTTATACTTTAAAGTCTTTGGATTGTCGGATCAAAGAGTATACTATTATTAATATAATAAAGTCAAATATAAATTCTCTATCTTGTAAATTTTAGAAGGTTCATGCTTTTGCAAGTATTCACTGTTATGAAGCTTTGAAAAAGGACTCTAGAACCAGTTATTTAAAAAGCTAAAACTATCACTATTTGACATACTAATTTAAATGAACTTTTAAGAGAAAACAGATGCTTTCCTAATGTTTCTGTCATGCATGTTTCAAGTGTGCTCAAAAAGGAAAAATAACAGTTTAGTAAAACAGGAGCTGCTTTTAGAGTCACACTGATTGAGTTGAATGCCAGTTTCAGCTGTGTGACCTTGGGTAATTGAAGGTGTGCCTCAGTTTTCTCACCTTTAAAATGGGGAAACAACATACCTACTTCATAGGGTTTTTGTGACGAACATATCATATAGCTATAGTATCCCAGTATATTATTTGACTGTAACATTTCCCTTTATATAAGGGACATAGGAAATACATTTATATTTTAAAAGAAAGTGAATGAAAACATTCACTTGTTTTATGTTTCCTCTGGGATATAGTTCCTCTTAGATATCCTAGGACATCAACCTTAATATGAACCTACTGCCTGATAATCCAAGGATCTAAATTATAACTCAACCCACTGCTCCCTCTACAAAAGCAAGTTACATGTATGAAATAGGTCAAGTATTGTGACAATGAAAATTTCTATACCACCACCATACCGATGATGCGTTTATTTCAAGAAGTATCTCATAATTTTCTGGTTGTACAAAATAGTTGAAAATTTTTGGAGTTCATTTTAAGATAATAAAGATTTACAAGATTTTTCATAGCAAAGTAAGAATTTTACTAATATTTACAAATATTACTGAAATGGATTGCTGAAAATGGTTAACAACTGCTAGAAAGCAACCAGAATTGATACATATAAATGTGGATTAAAAAGAAAATCTAAATTCCTATACCAAGAGCCAAGTCTATTTTCTCTGGTTTCATTAAATGCTGTATCCTACTGAATTATCAAATGAAACAGTCATTTTTTCCTGTGTGTATAAATGAGATTTAAAAATCATTGACTTTGGTTATAAGTTTTCTATAATCATAATAAAGTTTGTAACATCAAGTCAGTAGTTTCAGGAACTTCTCCAAAAGTTTTCATTTTAAACTTCAGCTAAGAAGGCTCTTTTCCTTATAGGGAATCCTACAGTTCTATTCTTAAGAGAATATACACACCCTTCCCCAGGTATCATGTTTTTGTCTTTGTTTTTTCTTCATTGTGGTCTAAACATGAGTGATCTTAAATTTCTGATATCTTAAATATTTTCTTGGTAACAGATTGTCACAGCTCTCCAGGGAAAAAGTAAAGCAACCAGTGTGCTGAAAGAATGATGCTTTATTCCTATTTTGGCCATAGTTTTGCTTTAGCCTTCAGAACAGAAGAATTTATCTGCCTCTTATTTCAAGGGGCTCAGAGTTAAAATGGCTGACTAAATAAACATGGGGGACTGGAATTTGCTTGGAGGCGTTCTGGAGGAAGTTCACATCCACTCTACCATAATTGGAAAGATCTGGCTCACTATCCTGTTCATATTTCGAATGCTTGTTCTGGGTGTTGCAGCTGAAGATGTGTGGAATGATGAGCAGTCTGGCTTCATCTGTAATACAGAACAACCCGGCTGCCGAAACATATGCTATGACCAGGCCTTTCCTATTTCCCTCATTAGATACTGGGTTTTGCAGGTGATATTTGTGTCTTCGCCATCTCTAGTCTACATGGGCCATGCTTTGTACCAACTGAGAGTTCTGGAAAAAGAGAGACAGAGGAAGAAAGCTCAACTGAGAAGAGAACTGGAGGGACTAGGGTTTGAAATGCTTGGGGATCGGAGACTGGAGCAAGAATTTTGTCAGCTGGAGCAAAGGAAACTTAACAAAGCTCCGCTAAGAGGAACTTTGCTTTGCACTTACGTGATACACATTTTCACTCGCTCTGTGGTTGAAGTTGGGTTCATGATTGGACAGTATCTTTTATATGGATTTCATTTAGAGCCTCTTTTTAAATGCCATGGCCACCCATGTCCAAATATAGTTGATTGTTTTGTCTCAAGACCAACAGAAAAGACAGTATTTCTCATATTTATGCAATCCATAGCAACTGTTTCACTTCTCTTGAATGTTCTAGAAATTTTCCATCTAGGTTTTAAAAAGATTAAGCGAGGGCTTTGGGGACAATATAAACTGAAGGATGAGTATGATGAATTCTATGTGGACAAGTCAAAACAAAATCTTGCCAAGTATCACAGCACATCTGCAAATTTACTGAAGCAACTCTCTTCTGCACCTGATTATAATTTATTTATGGAAAAGCAAACACACACAGCAGTGTGCCCTAGTTTAAATTCATCTGCTTTTCAGGCAAAGCATGACAATCACAGTGGAAATGATAAGAAATGCATTTTGGATGAACAGGAAACTGTACTTTTGAGTCAGATGTGCACACTTAGTACTACCTGTAGTCATCTTCAACACATCAACTCAGGTAATAATGAAGACACTGATAAAGTATTTGGAAAAGAGGTTAATGGTAACCAGTTACGGGAAAAGAAAGAAGCTAATGGCAAAAACAGCAAAAGGAACTACTACTCTAGAAGTCACTGTTCTATTCCAAGTGTTGATTTAGATCTGGACAGCCACATGGGGCAGTCACCCCAAACAGTTTTTTCTCTGCCAGCTAACAGCACCTGGAAGCCCAAGTGGCTTCATACTACATGGGGTCCTGCTAAAGAAGATGAAAACCAGGTGTCACCTCTTAAAGGTAACTTCAAGGGCCAGTTTGGAGAGGGCACAATCAGAACTCTTCCTCTTTCACAGGGAGTGTTCCAACCCCTTGACAATCCTGATTCTTTGGGAGAGTTGTCCTTTGAACCTGAGTTGGACAAGACCTGCAATAGCCCTACTGCTTGTCCTTCACATCATTTAGTGTTGTTGACAAACAACCTTCTCAGTAGGCGGGCTCCCACAGACCTTCAGATCTGAACAGCTGTTGGCTTTTAGACATGCTGCATATTTATGTTATCACGGAGGTAGCCTAGTGATAGTGGAGCACACATAAAACAGGTAAGGACAACTGTTTATAGACTGACTGCAAACCCATTTCAAAAAGGGAAAAGGGCTCTATTCTGAATGGTGAAGGAGTAGTTTCCAACTCAAACAGAATTATCAACTCAAGATTACTTTTTCACAGGATCTCTCTTCAGGAGTCGTCTAAACTGACGCTGGGAAAATCACTTGTTCAGAATTGGGGCAAAATGGTTTGAAACCAGGCTTTTCTCTTTGAAGTGAGCACAGCCTTTTAAGATTGTTCTTGTTCTATATAATTCCATCTTTTAATTATTAAGTTTTTATTTCTGGTTAAATTGTTTGCTCCTGGCACTTAGCTTATGTATTTTGAGTATAATCATAATGTTGCTATCTAGTAAATAAAATCTTTATAAAGACTGGTGGCTTTACAGCACCGTAATTCACCGCCCAGTTGGGAGTCTTGGCTGTACTACTCACTGGTTATCTAGCCTCGCTACTACTGACATTGCCTACCTTACAGGGATAGTGTGAGGATTACTGAAACACATGTGTTTAGTACAGTACCTGGCATACAGTAAGCACTCAAAAGCGTTGGCTATTAGTATGTTACTGCCCTCCAGAGGCCCACATCAAGTCGGCCACAAAACAAGGGGACTCCAAAAGTAAAAGCTGGAGCCGAAACATATAATTCCAAACGCTCTTCTCAAGGCATTGTAAATCCGAGGGTCGCCCGCCGTTCAGCATGAGCGCCAAGCCGTCAGCACCCGCAGGTCCACTGAAGCTTCCGAGGTCAGGTTGAGACAGAGCCACCCACTACCGGTGTCGGGAGATCTTCCCCACTCAGTAGTCGGGTTGCTCCCGGGCCCCGCAGGCCTCGCCCCCTGGCACCACTTCCATCTTTGAGCCCACTTGGAGCGTGGTACGGAGTTGCCTAAATCTAGCCCTTCACTTAGCAACCGCTTTGCTGCGGGGACCGGAAGAGGAAGGAGAGGCACGTTCCTAGAGCTAGAGAGGCGTGCGTACGCAGCTTCCCTCAGCTAAGCTCACCAAGGGGCTTTCAGAGCGTCCTAGTCACCATGAACACAGGCCACGCCCCGGCAATCCCAGACCGTAGTTCGCAAATGCGCATGCTCACGCGCCCTTCCGCGCATGTGCACTGCTGCTCAGAGCTGCCAGCTACGGTCTTCGGCGCCAGTTACGCCGCTGCCGCTGTCGCTATGGCCCATTACAAAGTGAGGCGGGGGCGCGGCGTGGCTGGGTGCGTGCGGGTGTTAGCCGGCCGCTGGTCGGCTTCGGGTGGGAGCGGGGGCACTCGCGCAGGTTTTGGGGGCCTGAGGTATCGAGGCGGAGGCGGGGTTGCCGGTCTCCCTCCTCCTCCCTGCTCTGGCCCCCGGGCTTCGGCCCCTGATCCGCCGTGTCTCCTCAGGCTGCCGACTCGAAGCGCGAGCAGTTCCGGAGGTACTTGGAGAAGTCGGGGGTGCTGGACACGTTGACCAAGGGTGAGCATTAGCTAGGAGAGTGTTCCTCGTGCCCTCGTCGTGCTCTTCGGTGCTGCCCCCCCCCGACGGGCTGTGGCGTGGGGAAAAGGGGGAACAGGTGGGACCCGTCCAGGGTCCAGTGAGGTGGGCCTCGGAGTTCGGCGGGAACCGTCGCCTGTGGGGCAGCCGTACGCCGCCCGGGTCGGGTAGCCTCGCTCACGCTGCCGCTCTCCGGACGGGGAGTGAAACTCCTGCAGCTGTTGCGAAGTCCCTCCAACTTTCGCTGCTTTGCTTCGGGCAGCCGTTACACGGGCCTGTTTGCAGAGACTTTGCGATCCCAGTTCCTCCCTTCTTTACAGCCCTCAAAATCGTGTAAAGAAACATTTACCTTCGAGCAAAGGACAGGTGGGAAAATTACGATTTGAAAGTGGGCTATGAAGTACCAAAGTGAGCCTAATCACCAAAGTAGGCGATTCATAGTTTGGCTGTGACTTTTCGATCCCCCGTTTCAAAATTCCTACTTGGTAAAGATTTCATAATTGAAGTAGAATTACAGTTTTAAAGAGCTTGAGGGCATACCAAACTGGTTATATTGTTTTCAGTTTTTAAAATGGAAGTTGTTAGATTTTGTCTTTTCCTCCGGGGTTCGATATCTAAGATAAGTAAGGGGCTTGAAACTTGAGGGTTCTAAGACAGCCGGGTATCAGCTTATTTCATTAGCTCAGCAATAATGGGAATGCCTGCTATGTATCACTCAACTCATTGGCTAGGACTTTCAAGGGTATAGAAGAGCTGGCAGGTCGGACAGTTTGGGTCCAAAAGAGAAGTGTTTGGGAAATTGTAACTGCTCTTTGGCCAGAAGCAAAGGTTAGGAGAATGTTCTGGGAGAATAATAACTCTGGGGTCATAGCAGAAAGCTGGGAATTTAATTCCAAAGCATGAACGGGTGATTTTGAATTGCTACCTACCTTAAGGGATTACTCAATAAAGTGCTGTGCTCTGTCCTCTCTGGAATTACCACAGGTGCTTGGAATTTCACTGACCCTCCCTCCCCTCAAAAAACTCCCCAAGTTCATTTCTTTCACTTATTTAACCGTTTTATTCAGGTCTCTGTTTTGGGCACTGGGGATACTTTAAATGAGTTTATATCCTAGTTGGGGGAGACAGATAACAAATACACAGTGTCAGCTAGTGGTAAGTGTTATGAATAAAAACAGAAAAGTAAGGAGATAAAGAGCAGATGGTCAGGTGTGTCACTTTATATGGGGGAGTTAGGGGAAAAGCCTCTTTTAAGAAATAACATTTGAGGAAAGACCTCAATGAAATGTGATGGCAAGAGTTCCAGGAAGTGTAATGAGGCCAGAGTGGCTGAATGGAGCGAGTGAAAGAGAATGATAAAAGGTAGACAAGTGACCGTTGTGGGAGGTAACTGAAGATGTACAATACAGCCTTGTACCAGGATTTTCCTCCATGAGAGAGTGGAAGCCACTGGACGCTTCTTTTAGTTTGCTCACACCTACTGGTATCTAACCCCTCAATCTCCCTAGACTTCCAATCTCCCTAAATAACATCCGATAATGTAGTGTGTGCTGATATGACCTATTTAAAGCTTTATCATCAGCTTGAAACACAGGTACTTTATACAGATTTAATTTATAATTTTTATCTAGCTTATTTCCAAGAGGATTTGAAACTCCTCTAACATTGAAACACTTGATGGCTAAAGATAGAAGCAGCAGCATTTTAGTTATTTTGAGTACTACATCAACCGCTAAAAATCCTGGCTGCTACGGCAAAAAGGCAAACATTGGGTATAGAGATCTTGTCTGATGAAAAGGATATATATTTCATCTATAGAAAAGCGCAAGAAAGTTAATATTTACATTATGTTCTGTAATGATCAACCTTGTAAGAACCTCTAACAAATTTAGAAGCTGAAAGAAATGGGGGTTGGTGGGGTTGGGAAAGAAAAGAAAGAAAGGATAAGAGTATTCATGTCTTACAAAATTAGGATTCAGTAGACATCAATGGAAATTAATGGAAGAAGAAAGGTTTGAGTATATAAAGAAAAGGGTAATAGAGGAATTAAAGAGTATCATACTGAAAGGAGGGAGTGGAGGAGGAAAGTAGAGGTGATATAAATACACTGATTTAAAAATAGTTCTGTAATATTTGAGAGAGAAAAGTAACTCAGAACTCAGCGTAAGTTGTTAAAAGTAGTTTCCCGTTTGATTTTTTTGATAGTCAATATTATTTTGTTGAGTTGTTAAAACTCTAAAAAATAAAAGGGGAGCAGTGGAAGTTGGTTTACAACAGGAGTCTAGATATGCACATTTTTGATGTATTTTTTGGCTTTTACCAGATTTTTCAAAGGGTATTTTTCATGCACACACACACAAAAACTAGTTTATGGAGGGATTTTTGTCTAAGTCATAAATCCTAGGAGGAATTTGTTCAATATAAGATGAGTAAAGGTAGTGCTTACATGAGTTTTTGCATATGAAGCCACTAAAGTATATATTTTAATGTTCATTTGAACATGTTGATTACTGGTAGAGTTTTTGGTTGGTGGTTATTTAGCATACTGTATATTAAACTTCATTCTTGAAGAACATTTTGAATTCAAAGCTTCTTCTAGTAATTACCACCAGCCATGTGGATTCTCTCCAATTTTTTTTCTCAAATTTACTTTGCTTTCACCTACCACTCTAGTGCAGGTCACTGTCTTTTTCCACTGGATTACTACCTCAGCCTCTTAACAGTTCTTTATGCCTTGATCCTTGCCCCATTCTCCATCTTCCACCCAGCAGTCAAGGGTGATCCTGCCACACTCCTGTGTAAATCCGTTTAATTATATTCCTGTTCTTAGGGTCCAAGTCCAACCAGACTTGCAGGATCTCCCTGGCCTGCCCCTAACCCCCTTTCCAGCTCCTTTTCCTGCCACATTGCTCACAACTCCATCTAGCCACACTTGCATCTTCAGTGCCTCAGTATGTTCTCTCCACACCGCCCTCCACCCCAGCCTTCCCATATTATCTGCAGCCCTTATTGCCTAGGTTTTGGTCTTATTTCTCTTCCTTTAGGAAGCCTTCACTGGTGCCATAGGCTGAGTTAAATGTTCTTCAGTGTGCTCCTGTAACCATTACCTTGTATTACTACTTGATACCCCTTTTCTGGTCTAGTGCCTTGTTTATCTTTTGCACTGGACTGGAGTTCACTGAGTGCAGGGACCTTGTCTGTCTTGTTCGCCATGGTACATACGGTCAGTCCTAGTGACATGGTTGGCATATAAAAGGCACTTAATATTTATTGGGTTATGGGACATTTCAGTCATTCAACTTTAATTGTTACTTTTTTTGCTTTTTGCTTTGCAGTATTGGTAGCCTTATATGAAGAACCAGAGAAACCTAATAGTGCTTTGGAGTATCCTTTTCATCTTTCAAGACCAAAAAAGGCTTTATTTTTGGAACTCTTTTTTTCACACAGATAATAACCTTCAAAAATACTTCTGATTATTGAAAAAGTTACTTTTTTGTTTTAGTTTTTGGATGGTGATCTCTGGGCAAATATTGGCAGAAGGTGGGGTAACTACGATCAGAGATAATGTTTCTACTCTGGGCTATTTTATTAGTTCCATCTAGTTCAAGTAAATTCTTAACTTTGATACTAGTTTTTTAAAGCATCACTTAGGAGCTGCAATCCCAGAAAATCCAGAAATAGAGCTGCTTCGCCTAGAGTTGGCAGAAATGAAAGAGAAATATGAAGCCATTGTAGAAGAAAATAAAATACTGAAAACAAAGGTAAAATTTTAAGAAGAATACATGTTAAAAATAATTTCACCTTTAATGATTATATGACCAAAATGTCACTAAAATGGACAGCAGGGGAGGGAGGAGGCTGAATATCAATCTCAATTCATCCAAGGCTGAACTGATGCCTTATGTAGAAAACCACAAACTAAATAGGACAAGCAAAGTGTGGTCAAGAAGAGGTTCCTGGGAACCTGCATCAACAGAAAGATGAGAATATTGATTAATGCTCCTTATAAGTAAATGGAGATTTCTGAGAGTCTTAGGCAGTTGTATTAAGTACATCAATTTAGGGCCATTGCTTTGTGAATGGCACCTCTTAAGAGTTGTGCAGTACATGATCTGCCTAGTCATATGTGGTGGCTCTGTAATATGTTAATATACTTCTGTAAATTCATTTGCACTTAATTTTGTGCTGAAGTTTTTCCTGTTTAAACTGTGAGAATTTTCATAAACTTCAAATTAGTCAATTCTAAGTCTTTGAGGTTTTACCACATTCTAAATCACCTAATGCATTTTACATTACTCTAGGCATTTCTCATAATGTTTTATCTTCTCAACAACTTTGTGAGATAAATGAAATAAGTACACATCAATTTCATAGGTGAGGAAACTAAAGCACTGTGAAGTCTAATTAGATACTTGAATCTGACAGCTAAATGGAACAACTTAAATCTTAGCCTAGTGTTCTTGCAGGGAACCACAGCTTAGCATAAAGGAAAACAGAGCATCTTAAATTCTCCCAAGATTTCACAATGTGCAAACACCAGTTAAACCTTTGGCACCTTGTGAGTCAAAGACAGTAGCTGCTCTTCATTGGCTAGATTAATTTATGTCATATAGTTCTTTTTAGGAGAAAGTTTAGTAAACTTTTGGTGGAGAGGAAGAAAGTATCTTATAAGCCACAACATCTTTGGGAAAATATAGATTATTGCATACCAAGTATTTGAGCAATGCACTCATGAATTGAAATTAAATTTTGGTCTCCCAGTTAGTTTAAGGTTTATATAAAACAGCTTTCATTAAATTTGATTGTATTAAATCTTAAATCATTGGATATTAAAAAAGGATAGTATATTAATAAAAACTTACTGATTCAGTAATATAATAATTGTTTTGTTACTATTAAGTTTTTTACCCAATTAGAATAAAATACACCTAAACTCCTCTGTCTTTGCCCTATAGCTTGCTCAGTATGAACCACCTCAGGAGGAGAAGCGTGCTGAATAGGATTCTTCTCAGTTGAAAAGACACTGAAAAATGGTTTTGTATGACTTGAATAGTTTGTATAGTGTATATAATCTTTTCTGAACACATGCTATAGAACTTTTAATATGTTAAATTCATCTATCACTTTAACTGTTATGAACACATATACTTAGAATCACCAATAAAAACTCAATATAACTTCTTTGGGTCTTAAAAGCAGAAGAATCCAAAGTGAATCCTGAAAAAAAAATTTAAACACAGCCATCTAACTCATTACCTTAAAAGACATTCTGTCTATTATAGGATTAACGGAACTGGTTGTATTTTAGCTAAGGAAATTTAGCATGGAGCTATTCCTTGGTTTTAGTTCAGGATAGGAGCACAGGTACAGTCATTCTTTAAAATGAAGGTGACACTATTTATAGTCTGTAGGCAGTTGGAGAGATCTGTGTGACTTAAGATGCTTTTGCATGGGTCCCCATGAATCTTCTGCTCTTGTTTATATAATGTGGAAGAAATAACTCTTCTTTGCCACCACTTTGCCTTAGATAACTGTGTGCGTGCCAGTGTGGACTCTGACACCACGTTTCCTTCTATGCAATCATGCCCTGTCTAGTGTTTCCTTGCTTTGCTCTGTGCCTCAGTGGGTCTAGCTGCACATGGGCCTTGCTGTGTCATTTTTCTATTTGTTAAAATAGCAGTTACCCTGATTGTTATTTATGTAACTTTAAACACAATCACACTGTTCCCCTGCCTTACCTAGTTGCTTCATTGAGCACAGAACAGAAGCAATATAAAATTCTGGGTTCATGTACAAGCTGGGATGAGAAGGGGAATGAGCCATGTATTGTGAAAAATTATAGTTTGCGGGTATAATTATATAGTGCTTTCCTCTCTCAAAGTATTTTTCTAGCCTTGAATTCATTTTATCTTCAATATCCCTGTGAAGTAGGTAGGGCAAGTATGAAGAGAGATTGGGTGCTGAATTTTTAGGCCAAAGACTGATATTAATACAAATTATTACTAACTGTCGTACTTTGGGCACAACAGTTAATTGCTCTGAGATTCACTTTCCTCATCCGTTATATGAGAAGAATAACATCTGTGCTGCCTACCTCACAGGGTTGTTGTGAGGGTCGAACAGAATGTATGTGAAAGATTTGTAAATGGTAAAGCATTATATTCTTGTTTGTTAGTCCTTTTTCCTTTCTTTTGGAAGACCTACAGTCAGATGTTTTGTTTTATTGATCACTTACTTTCCCTTTTGATTGACTGACATTATTAAGTATTAGTCCTATTTCATGTAATTCTATCCCTGTTGTTAGAGAACCTGTCTTTATTTGGTCATAACACACATAGAAAACAAAATGATGCAATGAAAGCTGGCTTAACTAGCAAAAGCCTTAGCACCTGCTGGAAACTGTGACCAAGCTTATAATAAGGGCATTTTAATCAGTTGTGTTGGCAGGAATGTGGCAATGGTTTGTGTGCCTCTTCTGGTCACAAGTTTGTTTTTGGAGATGGACCAGATACTGCTGGAAGAAAATTCCCTTGAATCGGTTTATCTTTTACCAATTTGAGTGCCTCCTACATAGACAGCAGTAGGCTGAATGCTGGTGTTCACACATAAGTGACCTTAAGTTAGTTATAAGACATGTATACATGCAATTACAATGTGGGATAGGATGTGCTAAGAACCATAAAAATAATAAAACATTAACCCCATGGGGGTTTTGGAAGAGAGGGAGACTTGGCTTTAAGCAGTTGCAGACAAGTAGAATTTTTTTCTGGCAGCCAACTCATTTGCTTTCTTCCCATGGGACTAGTATTAATATTTTAGATATGTCAGGTGACTGTCTCTTGAACCATCCTTTTTGACAGAATGGCAACCTGTGGGTTGGATAATCACACTTTTCAGGCAAACTGACCTACTTAAACTGCTGTACCAGTCAGTGCAGTTTAAGAATTCAGGGTTAGCCTGGCCTTAAGGTCTTCCTCAACATTTCTATCAAGGATTTGGATGAAGACAGTATACAAGAGATGTCCAGTGGATTTGAAAAAAGATCCCATCCAATCAGTTCCTACTGTGCTTCTACTGCCTTATCTATAAAAGTATAGATGTCCTATCTTGTCTACCTCACAAGATTGTTGTAAGGGTCAAATTAAATATTATGGATGAAAATTACCTTGTAAATTGTAAAGATCTACATATGGGTCAGCTAGTAGTAATGCCAAATCTGTAAGTGGTTGGAAGGGCTGGTTGGTAGACTATATTGACACGAGCTTGAAAGTGATGAACACCTTGGAGTACCCAAACTTCTGGGCCTATGCCAAAAAGTTGAAATATCAAGTCTTACATTTATGTTAAAGAATGAAGTTACAGAAGTTTAGGCATTAGAATTACTGACAAAGTACTAGTTCCAGTGACGATCAGTGTGAACCATTTAAACCCTGTGGATATTCCAAAAATAATTCCGTTTGGCAAAGGATCAACTGACATGTCCAGGTGCTAAACAGTCATCCTGAAGGCTGTATTGGTCAGTAGTATTCATTGTACATGCCCGACATTTAATGGCTATTAACAAGCTTAAATGCATATAAAGGGGAGTGACCAATAGGGAGAGGGCATTTGAAAATACAAAGCCGTGCTGTCCCATATGTGCCCTTCCTCAGTCACACATAGCAACACTTAAAGTGCTCAGTCCACATTGGCTACTATTGAACAGTACAGATGTAGAACATTTCTATCACAGTTCTGTTGGACTTGGGTGTAGAAGGAATGATTGAAGAAACAGTATGTTTAAGGTGGACCAGAGAAGTCTTAGTGCGTAGTGAACACTGCAATCTAGTATTTGAAGGGCTATCGTGAAAATGATGAAGACTACTTCTGTGTTCCATATTCTCCAGGGAGTGTGATTTTTGGCCTGAACAACAAACCTTTAAACACAGTTTAACACGGTGAAATTGGCTGCCTTTTGATAGCATGAGCTCTCTTCCCTTGAAACTATTGAAGTGTATATATACTGTCTATCAGAGATGCTGTAGAGTGGATTCTCTTTAGGTGAGAGATTGGGCTAGATGACCTCTACAGATGTGTCCTACTGTAAAGTTACAGATCAGACATACCAGCACCAAGACTTGCATAAACATGCATTCCCTTCATCATCTGGAAGTTCGTTTCCTAGGAAGACCAGTACCATCACCCACCACTACCACCACGACCATTGCAGCTTTAAGGGGAGGAGCCTCTTTTGTCACATTTCCAGTTCTAAAACCCAACAGTTCTGAGTGAAAATGCCTTTGGCTTTCTCGAACATATTTGGTGACAAGCATTTGCCTTGGTTTGCTTTCATTATTTCTTTGGTCTCTGATCTGAAGGTCACAGAAAATTAAATGTTCTATGGGGATGAGGGTGTTGGAATTACTGGAGCAGTAGACTGACCAGATGGGAGGGTAAACTGAGCTCTGTTGAGTTTAAAGTGGCAGGAGTATTCACTAGTGGCAGTGATTTTTCCTAAGAAAGAGAGACGTTCTAGCTTGGTTGCATTTGCTTTCCTCTCAAGGTCCTCCCTCCTTCCTGCTGGTACAAACTGTATTACACCCATGACTGCCTTGGTTGAGGCTTCGCCCTCACTCCGGTCTGTTCCTCCTCCATATCCTAACCATATCCATCTAGACCTGCTCAAACACCAGCTCCTGGGAGACTTCCTCACCTTCCTAACTCTCGAGCATTGTTATCTATCCGTACCTTTGACCTTCCCACTTCGTATCTCGTACGGAGGCTACTTACGGAGAAGTCCAATCTCAATCTTCGGAGGACTTGAAGGCAGGCAGGGTACAAGGTGGTTCCAGTTTTGTGCTTTGTCCCTTAGTACGTCGCGGGCATCAGTAAGTATTGGTTGGGCGAGTATAATTGTAGGATAGCTCTTTCCCCGAATGCCCAGAGAGGATCTCCCACTGCGATGGCCTCTGGAGCTCCGAGAAGGAAGGGGCGCGGCGAGGAGCAATGCCCGCGGCTGGGCAGGACAGAGGTGCGGACTGGGCGGAGGGCAGAGGGCTCGGCCCGGCCCGGCCGGCTACCCTCCTCGTGACTCCTCCCCCCCTTCCATGGCTCCGAGTCAGGTGATTTTGGGCACGTGATGTGCACCACCTACCTTGCTGCTCTCGAGTGGCAGCTGGCGTGACCAATGAGAGGCTGGGTCTCGGCGCGGAGCCTATGAGAGCGTGTCTCCAGGGGGCGGGCCGTAAGGCGCTGGCGGCTGCCGGGGGGCGGCGGCGGCGGCGGCGGCGGCGGCGGACTGGGGAGGCGGCGGCCTGGCTTGGCTTGGCCTGGCCTGGCCTGGCCTGTCAGGGCTCGGGCGGCGGCAGCTCCGACACCATGTCCCTGCAGTATGGGGCGGAGGAGACGCCCCTCGCCGGCAGTTACGGTGCGGCGGATTCGTTCCCAAAAGACTTCGGCTACGGCGTGGAGGAGGAAGAAGAGGAGGCGGCAGCCTCAGGCGGCGGGGTTGGGGCGGGGGCCGGCGGAGGCTGTGGCCCGGGGGGCGCTGACAGCTCCAAGCCGAGGATTCTGCTCATGGGGCTCCGGCGCAGCGGCAAGTCGTCCATCCAGAAGGTGAGTGGGGCCGCGCCGGGCGTCCCCGGCCATCCCCGGGGGCTCGGGTGGCCGCCGGGTGCGGGAGGCCCCCGAGGAGGGCGGCGGCCCAGGCTGGCGGGCTGGGCTGTTCCCCGCGTTTTCTCTTCTTCTGCGGGGAGCTGTGCCAGAGGCGGGCCAGCACGAGGACCCTGGCCTCGGAGTCCACGCCCCAGTCAGCTGAGGCCGGGTGGGTCCCCGAAGGCGAAACTGGCTGGAGGGAGGCAGGTGCGGATGGTACCGCCCGGGACCTTCGCCTCCTGAGACCCAGCTCCTGGGCCTTTTACGAAACTGAGACGTACTCTTCAGCTCTAACTTGGAGAACTTACGGACTCCTTCCCTGCCGGGTTTGTGTGCATCTCTCTTCATTGAGGTGACCTGAGATTGCAGGGCTTCCCAGGTGAGCCCCAGGGAGCAGCGTCAGAGTTGTGACTTAAGTCACTGGCCATTTTAATACGTGCTCTTGTTAGTAGTAAGAAGGAGACGTTGCAGAAACGTTATTGAGAATTACTGAGAATTGTTAGTCCACCTATTTTAGTACTTGTGGCGTGGTGAGTATAATTGCTGGTGATAATCTCCCTGTATGTGTATGGTTGCAAAAATCTTTTGAGACCATCAGAATATTTGCAGATCTGTGTCAGTCCATTTTTCACTTCAGGTCTGTCAGGAACGAATGGAGGAGTACACACTTCTTAGTAAGGGGGAAATAGAGAAAAGGTTGACCTCCACTATGAGCCATCCCCCTTACAGTGAAACGCCAGATACCCAGTCTTTTGCCCTTTCCACCCTGTTGCAAAGGTCTATCCAAAATAAATCTCTGATATTTTGTAAACATGACGTTTTTAAAAAAGTAACCTTCTTCTGAATTTACTGGTTCATTGTATTTTATTTATCTTATTTTTCACCTTTACAGAACAATTTGAGTACATTTATGGTTGGCTTTTAGCAAGTTGATTTTAATTATTTTCATTTGTTACTCACTGACTAAACCTTGGGAGTAATTGTCCATTTTTCCTTTCTAGAAAGTAACAGTGAGAGGCAAATGAGTTTTATGTTAGCATTGTGTGGATTGTGGTTATCGTGATTTTAACAATTGCCTTTACCATTTCTCACGGGAGCTGGCTTTTTCCCAGTCAACTTTTCACCCTCTGCCATAAATCACTTTCTACTTGTAATTCAGTATAATTACTGTGTTTGCTTTATTTTTTCCATGAGATTGCAGACTGAGGGCAGAGTCTAGTCAAGTTTATTTCTAATTATTCCTCAGAGCCTGATGTAGGCATTCCAATAAATTATCAATGAACAAAACTTTGGAACCTTATAAGCTTTTGTCATCTTAAAGCAGATAGGTTTTGGTAGAATTAGCACAGTCTAACAGAAAAAAATCAACAGAGGTGAAAGACAGTGCTACTCTTAGTATTGAATATGGCACAGAGGAAATAGGAAAGTTTCAGCCCCAAGATAGGCTTAATGGGAGGTAATTGGTGTCTTCTTTTCTGTCAAAAGTAAAAGGACTGTGAGTACTTTTTACTTTAAAAAGGATAACGGATGGGTGCACCATTCACTTTGGACTTCTTTGAAAATTTTTGCTATAGGATAGAATTCTTTAAATTACGTTAATTCAGGGTGGAATATTGAGCTTTAAATACAGAGTTGAACAGTCATAACATTGTCGTCTTTCTTTTAACAGGTGGTGTTTCATAAAATGTCACCCAACGAGACTCTCTTTTTGGAAAGTACCAACAAGATTTATAAAGATGACATTTCCAATAGCTCCTTTGTGAATTTCCAGATATGGGATTTTCCTGGGCAAATGGACTTTTTTGACCCAACTTTTGACTACGAGATGATCTTCAGGGGAACGGGAGCATTGATATATGTCATTGATGCACAGGTAGTTAGGAATAATGGTGTTTACTTCTCTTCTTTGGTGGTAAAAGATACAGACACAAAGGAAAGGTGTTTACCTTTTTTGTCATGTGCTTCTTGCTGCTGTTTCTTTGCAGGTAGATTCTGTAGTAGGGTAGGAGATGCAGCTGTAGAGGTGCGTTGGGAGTAGGCGTGCCGTTGTGCAGGTACAGTATATCGGATGATTAGGAAATACAGTTTATAGCCTTGAGTGCTACCTAGTAAGTAGCTTTCCACTTATATTTGTTAATAGTAGATATTGCTGTACATTTTGAACTGTGACAGTAGTGAAGTCACTCACTGAAATGAGCTCATCAGTGCCCATAGTATAAGGAGGAATATGAGAACTGAGTCAGTACATATTAAAGTGCATAGTTTCCTTAGTTGTCCAAATTGAGTTTAGCCCAACACGCCTTTATTGAGGGCCTAGCGTGTGGCAGGCATTCAAATGAATAGGACATGTCCTTATCCTTAAGCAGCTTACTTTTTATAAGCCTAAACATTAGTTAGGAATGCTTTCTGAATGACAGGTTCTGTAATGGGTGCTTTCACATATATGGTCTTACATTGTTTATTCTTCACCATATTGTGAGGTAAGTACTGTAATTCTAGTTTTACGAATGAGTAAACTGAGATCACAGAGTTGAAGCAACCTGCTTAAAGTCATACATCTAAGAAATGGCAGAGCTGGGATTATGTTAAAAAAAATTCTATTGAGAAGAAATCCCCATTTCCTTTTTCGTTTCTTTATATTATCTATTACAAGCATTACCTTGGTAATTGAATGTTTTATCTTGAGAGACTGAAGATCTGCTTAGTGGTATAAGTTAATATATTTAAATGTTTTGAGTAATTATGAGTAATTAGGATAGTATGTTTTTTGTGGTTGGGGAAAGAGGTGGTTTGAGGCTTTCTAAACTCATTACTTTTGTAAGATTTAAAAAAAAGTATTTTGTTCTAACTTACAGGATGACTACATGGAGGCTTTAACAAGACTTCACATTACTGTTTCTAAAGCCTACAAAGTTAACCCAGACATGAATTTTGAGGTTTTTATTCACAAAGTTGATGGTCTGTCTGATGATCACAAAATAGAAACTCAGAGGGACATTCATCAAAGGGCCAATGATGACCTTGCAGATGCTGGGCTAGAAAAACTCCACCTTAGGTAACAACATGTGTGTTTGATATGAGAGCCCTGAAAATGTATAAATGTATCTCCATCTCTGTCATTTCAGACACCTAGCTTTCCATGTCTGGTATACCTTTCCCAGATCTATAATGGTTTTCATCTCTTTGTTGAATTTAAGCAATTTTGGGAGCCTGATGTTACCGAGAAGTTACTCTCCCTATTTTACATTTTCCTGGGAGGTTGAAGTCATGTGAAGTGTTCCGTTGGTGCCTTTGCAAATTCATCCCAAGAGACTGGAGTCAGGCTGTTTCCTCATGGCATAAATCTGCTTTGGGACTCCCCTCTCTTGGTTTCATCATTTTTTTTCTTCTTGCCTCAGTAGAAGGACTCTCACATTTGTTGTAAAACTTGGTAACTTGAATCTTCACAGTATTTTTCTCAGTAGGAAGAGAGTCCTCTAAAGAGGGTATGCTTTCAAGTCTGGATGCTAATGTATCATATTTATGTTTTGAAAAACACTTAAGTTGTTATGAATCTCTGAAGTTTGAGTTAAGTGAATTTATCCAATTTGCTAAGGGCTGCTAATTGAATATTAAATCATTGCTACTAGATAGGATTGATGATTTGTGTACTTGAATTTTAAAAGTGTATGAAGAATCATCCCTGGATTTTACTATTACTATTTTGTGGTAAAGGTAGAAATCAGTAATAAAAAGTACCCCAAAAAATGGTCTCTTGATGATATAAACAGCTTAAAAGGGAAGCAGGGGAGAGACATAAGTGTAGCTATTTCCTTATCTCTGTTTTGTTATAATGACTTCCCTATAGGCTCAAGCCAACCCCCAGCCCTACTCTGACTTTGCTTAGGGCCTCAGGCTCCAGGTCTTTGAGTTTAGGAAATCATGTAGAAAAGTCTCATTGACCTCTAATTTTCCTGGATTAAAATTTTGAAGTATTTATAAGTAATTAATACTTAAAAGAAAATTTAATATTTGTAAGAGAGAGTAAAAGAGCCTCCCCATGAAATTGCTCAATCTTGTTTTTTTGGGAATCCACTATTAATAATGAATTTTAGGCCATGATTTTCCTGTGTTTCCAGTGCCCATGGGAATAGTCCTAATCCTCTTTACACCATATCTGTGTTCCTTTCCAGGGCATCCCACCCCAGAGGTAGGCACCATTCCTTTCCCCAGTTTTTTACAGGGTCCAACCTCAGTAAAAAAATTTTTTTTAGGGAGAGGATCATCCTTCTCTATACTTTTTCAGTTTAT